TCAGCAGGATGACTGAAAATGGTTTGTGGAAGGTTATCACGCCACTGGCCGTGTTTTTCTTCATGCTGCTCATCCCTAGATCATGAGAAAGAAATAGTTTGGAGTCTAAAATGATAACTAACTTGTATGAAAATAAACTAAATATAACCCATAGCCTTCTCATTTCGGAGGCAAGGCTGTGCCGCCATAGCAATGTCATGGTTTCTTACCTTTTGTTGACTTGAGGACGTTTGGGTCAAAGTTCCGCGAGAACAGGCAACAAAATGTGTCAGAAGCTCGTCACATTAAAACGTGACATGTTTCAGTGTAGAGACTACTTGCTCTTCCCTCAGCCTGGCTTCAGCTTTGAACAGAGGGGGAGACGGGGAGACGGGGAGCGGCCTCCTCCAGGTGTCCTGTCGTCTGGAGCTTTCCCGTTGCCATGACGCTGGCACACGCGCGAGCCAAGACGGGAACGCGCTGCGGAGACGAGGACCTCAACAACAACAACAACAACAACAACATGCTTTAAGGTTTCTGTCTTTGGGTTATAATATATGAGTAAGATATAAAATGGACCACAGCGGCAGGTAGGCCAGATGATGAGACGACCTATTTAGTCAAATACGTAATATATTATTTTAACTTATGTAAAAACATCTCATATGCGGTAAGATTTGTGCTTTTACTATTATTATGATTATGATTACCAGCAGTAGCAGTAGTAACCGGCGGGTTGGCCAAGCCTATACCAGCAGGTGAGCAATTTGCTGGGATGATTATAGATATAAATACCAGCCCTGGAGAAGCTGTTGCGATAAGTAATTCCTCTGCTGGACGCAGCTGTGATTGTTTCTGAAGTGAATCTCCCTCCATTGATCTGTGTCCTGCTTTCCTTTGAGATTGTTTAGGGGATTACCACATGCTCTTCAGGGGTGATGATTGTAAGTGTGATCCTGCAGAAGTTAGCGTCCATCGCACATGTGCTAGTGTGACGCACAGCCACTGCTGCTTTGTTTTTGCTTAGCTTTGTTTTGCCTGCTTTGTTAATTAACAAAAAGGCTTACTTAGCATTATATTTCCTATTCATTTGCAGAGTACACACGTTTTATGGTGTATGAGCCATATGTAAATGGGTTGAGGTGCAGGGAGGCAAGACCCTCTTATGTTTGGTTTGGGTTTGGTTTGGATCGTCTTTCCTAACCTGTAGACCTCTGACCATTTCTTATTCCTGTTCTGCACTGTATTTATTGAGTGGGGAGTAACTTCTTCTTAAGCATGGTATTTTAGCTTCTGGGGTTAGGCCTTTAAACATTGTTCCACTGTTAACTTATTTAGTGACTCAAATAAATCCTTATTTTTGTCTTGTAGAAAGAGGTCTCTGTGTGTTGACTTATCTGTGTGTGGTAACCCAGTACTTGTAGTGGTAGTTCCTCCGTTATAAGGAGGTCCTGACTGCTATCCAACTCAGGAGCACGGAGGAAAAAGAATATTGAGCTAAAAAAAAAAAAAATCTTTTTTTAAATGTGTATTTTTCAGGAAGAGAAATGCAGAAATTGCACAGCTGGGATGTTAATTATATACCCATGCCACGTAGCCAAACAACGTGCAAGAAGGAGATTGCAACAGGAAAACAAATCTCACTAAATAATCATATTACAAAAAAACAGATATAATCAAATCCCCTTAAAGTTCTTGTTCACACTATTAGCGGTTAATTAAGAGACAAAGATATTCTGTGCACAATTAGGCGAATTGTTTCAAAATGATCTTTTTGGTTTCACAGTTTTCTGCTGGAACACAACGGTCCACCTCTGAGGAGTTTCATCGGGCCTGCAAAGCTGCTACTCTTAAGGTGCACTAGGTTAAAGAGTTGTCTGATGGTTTTATATGGGCATTGACACCTGAGATTTCGAGGTTTTCATCAGCTACACCTGCTGGTAGACTGCTTAATGTTGGGTATTAGCTGCGTAGGTAGGGCTGAGGCTTGGCCAGATCATACCTTGGGGTTTTCACTGCCGCCTTTATTTTTGTGGCTGAGTGCAGAGCTGGGGGGAGACTACATGGATTGGTGGACTTCGTTGGCAGCGGGTATTCCCCTGCTCTGGATCGTGTGCTTTATAGACGGTAAGAAAAAATGATTAGCAGGAACTTTGCTCTGCTACCTAAGGGCAGAAACAGCTTTCATAAATGTGAAACCTAAGACGTATCCAACGTTATATTTCACTTCACTTAGCTTAGTCTCAAAAAGAACTGGGAGAACTGGGAGGTTTTGGTAGCATGACGCCCAGGAATATCTTTGGTTGGGAAATTGTGTTAATTTAATTTTACTCACGTTTCCCCAGATTGAGATAGGCTGGAATAAAACTAGGTGTGGCACGTTTCTTTCTGGTAAAACACTCCAAGCGTTTTTGGAAGCGCTCTCTTCGTGCGTCTCTAATGCCATATCAAAAGAGTCAATCCACGCTGAATCCGTCAGACGCGCGTTTCCCGTGGAACCCTCGCGTTTTTACGCTTCATTGTTTTCCTCTGCCCCGTTTAGTGAAGCGTGATCTCCACAGTCCGTTGTTTAAATCACACAAATCCTGTTTTCTGTTTCTACTGCTATCTGTTATGACTGCTCAGGCTGCTTGAGTTTCACTTTCTCCCTCTGTAAGGACCCGGGGAAAATCAACAAATCCTAACGTGATTTCTTTGTGAAAACTACCTTAGTCCAGTACACTTGTCTTACTGTTCGGCCTGAAACAGAGTATGTGGGGGGACACTGGTTATTAAAAAAAAAAAACGCGCCGCTCACGTCTCGGTTCTTTACCAGTTAATGTGACAAGATATTCTTTGGCATTTTGGAGACTAGATACCGTAATGATTCTTACACTTCCTCGTTTCAAAATATTATCCTGACAAAAGTGTAACTGTAAGATAAAGTGATAGAATCTGAGTCTCCCTTTCAGACTGAGGGATTTCTGATATTGGCCATTTTGTCAGAGCATCGGTCTTGTTCAGGCCGGCGCGCGTAATGACGCGCTAAGTAAGCCATCAGCTTTGTATGCTCAAGTGATACGAGCCGCCCATTTGGCAGGTGAACAGACTAATCATGTGACAGACCCTGTTTTTAATGGTTGTTGACATTAGCCATAGTGTTCGACTCCAGCTGATCTTATCTCTTCTTATCTCCAGGTAACGCAGTGCTTGAGCTGCGGCTGCTCTTCCATGCTCTGACCAAAGCTGCTTGTCACCTGTACCTGGCCCTGCTCCCGCTGCGCCGAGCCGTCATCCATTTCGCTGAATGTGCGAGATATCTGATTAACCACGCCCAGCAAACCCCTTCTGCCCACGGCTACCTTCACCAAGTCCAGCCCCTGGCCAGGAAAGGCATGCTGCACTTGCTGGAGGGCATGTGTGTGATGTGCGAGACCGTGCCCAATCTGTTGGGAGCAGCGCTCAGTGTGGGCGCCGCCTTCTGTCACTTACTCCAAGGAGGTTTCTACACCCTGGCAGCTACGCTGCGCACCATCCAGATCAACCTGCTCTCTCAAATGAACGGCGAGAAGGAGAAATGGGACAAGGAGCAGCACAGAGCCAAAGAGACCGAGAAAAAGCTAAATTCAAAAGTTTTGGAATACATCTCTGTGTTTTGTCAAGACCCTGTCAGCGCTTTACGCATCAAGGTCGACGTGCCACCTGTCTATAGATATAATATTTCTCCAAGTAAAACAGTTTACTGATTAATTGGCGCATAAGAGGCCTTCTTTTAACTGCTGAGGGGGTTACAGGGGCAGGCAGAGAGTTGGCTGGTTTGCAGACTCAGGGCAGTGAACTTTGACCTCTGATTTTTACTCACTGTTGCTAAGGGAATAATTCAAACAGAAAGAAGAAACTGAAGTGGGAAGAAGATACAGAATATATGGTGCATTTTGTTACAATTCGTTTACATTTAATGAGATGTAAAGAAGTTAAAATAAGTGTGTAAACCAAATAAAACCTCACCTTTATATTGGGTATTTTACATCATGAAGGTCTTTGAAAGACTGAAAAACAATGTGCATATAATCAAGTGCCTTAAGGGAGTGTCATCAATTTTATTTCAAATGGCTCTTGCTCATTAAGTCTATCAACTATTTACCTAGGACAAAATATTTAAAAAACTCATAACAATGTAACAGATCTTTCTTTCTTATCTATGTTAGCCATCTAACAAAGTCACCACCCACCTCTAATTCAAGAGTGGAATGCAGCCCGGGAAATACTGGCCACTGACACCCAGGATGAAGGATTTTGTCTGAGGGTTCAGAATGCAGAGTTAAAGAGGAGGAATTCTACTGATGGCTCCATAAAGTGATGAGGTAGTTAGGAGTAAACAGTTCTGTGGGCTGATAGTGAGGGTGGATCTGTTCCAACAGACACTAAGGTTTTGCACCAGCTGTTGTCTGGAGCATCTGGGGAGGGATTTTTCCAGCTGCAGTGAAAGAGGAACAGAAAAATCCCTCAGGGTGCTGCTATGGCACGGTAAACCCAATCAAAGGCAGAATCTTAAACACACAGTGAGGACATTTAAGTTACTGAAAGAGTATTTTAGAGCCAGCTATGAAAAATAGATCAAAATGTTAATGTGCAAAACCATAACAGACACAAAATGGCAGTTTTTATCTTGATCAACATATCACAACTCACAGAGCGTGTCTCCAATGCTTCTCACAGCTGATTTGTTAACTCTGTATTCCTTCTGCTCAGACCTGTGACGAGAAAGCAAGAAGAACACTGGCATCAGAAATACTCACAACGTCTCAACCACTGAAGGAAATTAGCTTAAAGCCAAACAGGTTCACAGGCGCTAATCTCATTACTCACTCGTTCAACTTCGTCAAGGCCTTCAGTCTTCGCAGAGCGGACAAAACGTTTTTTTGTATTTCAGACGACAGGGCTTCGTAGGTGTGAAGCTCACCTGCAGAAATAATCACGTGGAAATGATTTGCTGAGTTTAACAGAAGCCAGAGGTCATTTCTGCCATAACATATTTTACTGTACCTGAGAGGATGAGCTTTGCAGCCAGGTTCCTCACAGCAGGTAGGAACTGTTTCTCTGTGAACACATGAGCTCCCTCTTCAGAGAGGTACCTGAAGATCATCTAGGCATGCAAACACATAAGTTACTTCAAGCTTCTTCCTCCAATCAGCAACAGCTCATACTGAAAACTAAACTATCTGAACTACTCTCACTGGATATTTACTTGAGTTGTTTTTAGATAACTTCCTATATTTATATTTAAAATTACTAAGAAATTATGGCCAACTAAAGTGCTGAAGGTCTACATTCTGTTTGTCTTCTCAGACTGGTGGAGAAGCAGAATCATTTATTTATTTTGTATTTATTCCTTAACTTTGTCTAAAGTCTCAGTCTGAAAATACTGAAATTAGCCTAAAAATGTTTAGGTTTTCTATTGTAGAATGTATCATATGCCCAGGTTGCTAAAACCTCCTAAATCCAATTGAAAACACAGAGTTTGTAGCCTCAGTGTCAGAGACAGATTGCATTTGATTTAATATTCCCAATTTCAAGTGCAGGATGTGGTCAGTTAGAGAAAATGTTCTGCTTAAAGTCCCACATTCTAACATTGCATAGAGAAGTCCAGACTCACTAGTGCTGCCTGAGACTACTTCCCAACAAATGACCTCATCTCATTTAATCCCATCTGAGATCATAATGTTTTATCATAGTATACACCCGGTAGGAGTCGATGAAGGGTTGTAGTAGTGCCTGCAGGAAAGATAACACCTCCAGCCCTGCTTCGGACACTGTTAGTTCCTGTTCATTGAAGTGAGCTGCTCCACATTTCTTCAGGAGCACGCACGCCTCCTCAAAGTCCTGATTGGTGGAAAAACAGACATCAACAGGTCTGTAACACAGTTTCAATCCAGCCGTATCTTCTTGGATTTTTATTTTGTTGGACTGCATATTATGTAAATTTTGTTTGTATTACGTGTTACTCCTTTCCTGTTTAACATTTTCCAGACTGTTTTAGACTCTTTAAAACCGCTGCTTGGATGTATTGTATAAGGGTATAAGGGCCTACCACCAGTGAACAGTATGCAAATAAGAGTGGAAATGATAGAAGTAGGCATCCATCATAGAGTGTACAAAGATTACCATATTTCTTCTGATGTTCACTCATCTCTCTACCATGGGATTCTGTTCCGACTTAAACATGTCAAATCTGTCAGAAGCATAGCTGTAATAACGACCTTCGTCCTCAGATGCTTGGTGAACGCTGATCCCTAACCCATGAAGTTGTTACCTGAGACGACTTGCCAGGAATGAAGATGAACTCATAGGCAAAAATGTCTTGCAGGAAGCAGAAGAAGGTGTAGAGCTGGTCTGTGAGTACAACAGCGGATCACAATGAAGCAACAGGAAAACATATGGAGAATCTCACAGTGTATTAGGTAAGAGATATAGTATGTTATGTCTAACCCTCACCTTTCCGTGTGCTCTTTGTGATGTGTATGGCTGATGCAAGCAAGGCAGGACGTACAAAAACATGCAGCGACTGATTCTTATAGCAGGCCAGCATCAGCGCTGCCACCGCTGTCCTGAACACACCCTGCTCTGGACCGACCAGATGGTTCCTCTCTGGCTCTTCCTCCTGAACCACATAGAGGCATCCGGCTTTACGGTGAACTATGGAGTGATGAAGAGCCACGGTGGAAGACATCACCACTGAGTCAGCGACATGTCCTGCAGAAAACCACCTCCATATTATTTTTTTTTATAAAATGCAGTTTGGAGTTTTAAGAGTGTCGCATTGACCTAAGAATAGTTTGCATGCACATGTGTATGTACGCACACACACAAGACCTGTAGAGTGACACAGTTCAGAGGGTTCTCTTAGGATAAGTTACTTAAAGTGCATTAATCCACTGAACAGCTCCTAAGTGAATCTGAACGTTTGTGCCAACTCACATTCATCTAATCTGTCTGATCCACCTCAGACCAGGTTGAAGGAGCCTTTGGTGTCCTGAGGTGAGACCCTGACTGATTAAACAGGAGAGAATCGGCTCATTAACTTTTCTGTGCTTTATCTTTGTCTGGTTCACTTGCAATGCAATATGCAAATGCCACCTACTGGTCGCTGAGGGGATGTGAAACATGTTTCCCAGTCATCTTCTCAAGCTTGACGCAGCTGCTTTTGTACTAAACTAACAAGAAAAGCATTTCTTCCACACACCAGGCCAATTCAGATGAGCCCCAAAGTCCAGCGCCAGGTTCCTGAGCCAGAGGGTTTTTTCTGTGAGCTGATGCCACGGCAGACCCTCTTCTCTTAAGACTGCGATAGGTTCCTGGAGCAACAAGCAGGCCATCAGAGACCAAGGGCTGACCACAGAGCCCTCCTCTTGTGTTCGTACCACTAGATGAGCCACCCACCTCACACAGGCTTGGGCCTCTGCACTGGGCATCTGAGGAAGACCTCTGTGAATAGAATGAAAGGGAGAAATGGGGCGGGAGTGAAGAATGCATGTCATAGCTACTACTGAGAACACAAAGGTTATGTCCTTTGTGATATTTCTAGAGTTTTGGAGGGTATATAATGACTTAAAGCAAAGATTAAACAGTATAGTTCTTACATTACTTGGGGTTTTTAAAGCAGTTCTGAATGTTTTTAGACAAAATTTGAATGTGTGTAGGCAAAAAAACTAAATAAATCATAAGGATAGGACTTTCTCCACCAAAACTACATGCCTGGCAAGGTGAGGTAGGGAAATACAATAACATTTACAGAAAAGTATGGTACACAGGCAAAAAGTTAACTGAATATCCTGGCCAGATTGGTAAGGAACTTTTCTACCTGGGTATGAGGTTGTCCTGACATAGCTGTCTGACTGACAGGGGGTGGCCAAAGTTCACATGCATGCTGCC